GTTTACGTGCAGCCAGCAATAACAGCCTGGTTGATCAGACCCTAATCCCCCACGAGGCCTGGTCTCTGACTGGGCCGTGGGGCACTGACCCCCGAAACCCTCTCCAGGTAATAACAAGGAGCTTTCTATATACAGCGGAACCTCGGTTTTTGTTTGCCCTGGTTTTCGTTGAATTCGGTTTTTGGTGATTTTTCGTCAAAATATTGTCCCAGTTTTCGTTCATCACCTAAGTTTTTGTCCACAGTACAGAATGTGTCCGTTTACCTGCGCCCACACAAAGCATCCCATGCACACATTCTGAGGGTCTGGCTTTGTTTCTCATTGAGTGAACATTGCCCTGCGCATTCATACAAAACATTTCGCAATAATCCATGGTTTTTTGTGCTTGTTTATTCAGTGTGACTGCTAAATAAGCCACCATGGGGCCAAAGAAAGTTTTGAGTGCCAGCCCTTTGATAAAGAAGACAAGAAACACAACAGAATTCAGGAAAGAACTCATAGCAAAGTATGAAAGTGGAATGAGTTGCAAAGTTTTGTGAAGAAATATCACTACCACCCTCTACAAAGGTAGAGGGTAGTAGTGATTGTGGTAGAGGGTGGTAGCGATGGTGGTAGAGGGTGGTAGCGATGGTGGTAGAGGGTGGTAGCGATGGTGGTAGAGGGTGGTAGCGATGGTGGTAGAGGGTGGTAGCGATGGTGGTAGAGGGTGGTAGCGATGGTGGTAGAGGGTGGTAGCGATGGTGGTAGAGGGTGGTAGCGATGGTGGTAGAGGGTGGTAGCGATGGCGGTAGAGGGTGGTAGCGATGGTGGTAGAGGGTGGTAGCGATGGTGGTAGAGGGTGGTAGCGATGGTGGTAGAGTGGTAGCGATGGTGGTAGAGAGTGGTAGCGATGGTGGTAGAGAGTGGCAGTGATGGTGGTAGAGGGTGGTAGCGATGGTGGTAGAGGGTGGTAGCGATGGTGGTAGAGGGTGATAGTGATGGTGGTAGAGGGTGGTAGTGATGGTGGTAGAGGGTGGTAGTGATGGTGGTAGAGGGTGGTAGTGATGGTGGTAGAGGGTGATAGTGATGGTGGTAGAGGGTGGTAGTGATTATGGCAGAGGGTGGTAGAGACAACCTTTCCTCCCTCTCCCCTCCTCGCCATCTTCCATATGCCAACAATAGTATTCACTAAAGATAAAAGTGATGTTAAATATTCATTTATCCATTTCATTAGTGCTTTATATTTATTTCTCATTGTTTTCTGTATGTAAAACTATAGTTATTCTCAATAAAATGTAAGTTTTGTTAATATTTTTGGGTGTCTGGAATGGATTAATTGGATTTACGTACTGTACATTATTTCTTGTGGGAAACATTGCTTCAGTTTTCGTCGAATTCGGTTTTCATCAGACTCTCTGGAACGAATTAAAGAAGAAAACCAAGGATCCACTGTAGCAGTATGTCACCGATGTCAGCTAGGTTTGTATGCCTTGTACATGTGCTTACAGAAATATTTATTATTATTATTATATAATCAATATGTTTAGTAACATATTAAAAATGTTAAACCCATATGGTTCATACAGTGCCATCAATATGAAATGATGTTAGCTTTAATACTGGAAAAAATGTAGCTGGGTGATCCCTCATTTAACAGCCGACTGAAGCTAAGATATTTCAAACCTTACCGTCCTCACTGGATGGTTCTAATCTCAGAGCTGGGCCAAGCATACCCTGAAACTGCAGGTGCTCTCTTAATCTACTTATAGTTGTTACTTGAAGTATTTGAAGTGTGGGGGAAGGATTAACATGGGCCTACTGGGCCAAGTTGGATGAGGTGACTACCTCTCATTGGTATTAAAATTTTAAGTTAACCACTATTATCTTGTCTAGATTTAAGTAGTTATTATGTACTAGGATTAGTCTGCCCGAAATGCTCCGGCATGATAGTGGCTTTCTTTGTACTTAGCGAACCAAAATTGTAATTACACATTGTAACCTTTTCAAAGAAATAAATCTATCTTTTTATCTTTATCAACTGACACTGTACATGTTGGCAAGTAAAAATAAAAGCTACATTTCCTTATCAAATTGTTCAAGACATACAGGAACTCACCATACCTGTAATAAGCAGACATGAGAGACATTGTGTGACATAAGAACATGCACCACCATGGCCAAAATCTTTATGTTTTATTTGTCTGTGGGAATGTGTGGATATAGTCTTCTGCATCCGTAAGTTAGGCTCAGATCCCTATAACGAAGTATGGTATCTCAAGCTTTATAGCTCAAGCAAAAATTGCAGCCATGTTTTTCTTCACTGTTTGAATTTGGCGCTTATTCTTTCCTGCCGTGCAACACTTCATGTATCAAAGATAAGTGCATTTGTTACAGCCACAGCCAAGAAAAAATATTGATACATAAATGTTGGAGGTGTCACCAGTTCTCTCCAGGTAAACTCCAGTTTCCATTAATATGTCAAAACTGGGAAAAATAAGCATAACATTTCCTCACTTAACCTATATAAAATAAATATGTAATGAAGATTATTAATGCATTGCAAGAAGCAATATTAAAACAATAAAATAATATCATACTGTACATAAAAATTTTGAGGAGGCAGTGTCGAGATGTGGAGAGAGCAAGCTGCCAATTCTGGTTTTGGCCTCTAGTATTACTGCAAGATCCCAGCTCTCTATATCAACTCTTCAATGCAGTATACATGTGCATATCCGAATTGCCTGTATAGCTTTAATTCTGCATGACATATATTAGTGGCACAAAATGTTGTGCTTAGTGAAGGAGAAAGGAGCTCCACACATCTTAGCCAAAACAAAGTCCAAATCAACAGCAGAAATAACAAGCCTCTATCTCCTCTCTTGAATGATAACCCAAGAAAGCCAAGCTGTGTGGCTTTATTTTCATTTCAACCCTTTGGTCTTCTTCCCCAGGATACAATCCAAAACCAGCTAACAAAGGGGTACCTCCTTACTGTTAGGTGAACAGGGGCAATAGATGTATTAAACATGCCCAACATCTCCATTGGCTCTGGGATCAAACTCAGGTTTTTCAGTTGAAAGCCAAAAGCATTACCCTAAGCCATGAGCCAGGTTATGTTAGGAAGTAAAATAATCAATCAGATTAATCTGGGGCAGCTAGAAAGATAACCAAGGGTTGCATATATACCTTATTCATCATAAAAACTATATACGTAGTCATAAAAGGGCATAAAAGAAATGATAAAGATGATTTCTTGGTACCTGCAACATGTATATCAAGTGAGCCCAGTTGTAAGTTGAAAAAAAAAAAAAAATGGAGCCAATAGTTAATTTTTCTTCACAAACAGACTGGTTGACCAATCTAATGAATTTGAAGTGGTAGTAAGAAATTGATAAAATTTATAAGACAAAACAATTACCAAAGCAGAACAGCACGAGCACAGTTCTCCTTGTAAGTGCGTAAAAATGAAGGACAAAAGCAGTAGTCCTACTGGCTCATGTTAGGCAGGTTCAGCCTACACCTACTCATATACCCATCCAATTTACATTTAAAGCTATACAAAGTTCTCGCCCTAGTCATGTTACCTGGGAGTTTGTTTTACTCGTCTACATTATTATTCCTCTTGTAGCTACAAAGAAGAAATTACTAATTGATGTACATATGGTGCAAGTGCTTGGGGACCAATATTAACAATCTATCAATTACAACAATAAAAGGCAGTCATAAGAATAACATCACACTAGGTATAGACAACATACAAAACCATATACAAGTAATTTACTGAACATATAAACTTGTGTATACTAACATCTACAAGACCCTGAATGTATGTACATACCAGGTTCTGATTGTTAAACTTCTTGTAGAGCTGTAATAACCTTCATGCTGGTGAACTGCTCTTAATCCAATGAATTAGTTACCCTCCCATTCCTAGGATCAAACTTGAATACGTCCCATTTGCCAAGTGCTGTATAACTCTTGCGGGTTTAGCACTTGCCTCCCAATAACGTAATGGACAATTTATTTATTTATTTATTTATTTAGAAATTTTAGCATACAAACAGAGGTACAAAAAATACAGGTAAGAGCAGCATGCCAAAGCCACTTATATGCATAGCATTACGGGCTGGCTTAAAATTAACTTAAGATTAACTAAGCAATGATGAAATCAGTGATAAGACATTATTGTAAACAGATAACTATAAAGCACAAATGAGTATTACAAAGACAGGTCATATGGTTGCATGCATTGCTGTTCATTCAGTAGAATGGAGTATTCTGTTAGGTAGTGTATTTAAAAAAAAATAACAAAGTTAGGTTTAACATTTGTGTGATATAATTGTGAGTAACATTTAGGATATACAATTTATATGGTTCAGTTATTCAGTATTTATTTGGTTTTGAGTGAGTAAGTGAACTTTGAGAAGAGACTTGAATTTATAAACAGGTAGTGTTTCTTTTATATTTACAGGTAATGAATTCCAGATTTTAGGGCCTTTTATGTGCATTGAGTTTTTGCATAGCGTGAGATGGACACGAGGAACATCAAAGAGTGATCTGTGCCTTGTGTTATGGTCATGTGTTCTGTTGAGGTTGGCAAGGAGATGTTTGAGGGGAGGGTTAATATCAGAGTTAAGTGTTCTATGTATGTAATAGGTGCAGTAATAAGTATGGATGTTTTGTATGGTGAGTAGGTTGAGTGTTTTGAATATTGGTGGAGTGTGCTGCCTGTAGTGAGAATTTGTTATCATTCTAACTGCAGCCTTTTGTTGGGTAATTAGTGGTCTGAGATGGTTAATTGTTGTTGAGCCCCATGCACAATAATATAGATATCTCGATTTCTCAAGTATAACTCTAAAATCTACTGCTTACCAATCAATAAAAACATGGAATACTCGGGATCTGCATTGTCAAATATTGCTAATACTTGTGTATTGCAATTTTGAGGAATAAGGTAGCAATTATTATGCTAATAATAAAATTGGCACCGATCTTAGTCGTCACAGTTACAAACATCTTACCTGTCTACAAGATCTCAAATCGTTATATGGCGATATAAGACACAATATGTACTCCAGGATTTCTTCCGGAAGGTCATTCACGCCAGCCATGATAAATAATATTGGTGTAATTCACTTCATTGCGCCAGGGCCAGGCATCAGCTCCCGGGGTCACCACACTCACCACCCCCACACTACCTTGACCATACACACCCTCACCTCACACTCCCTCACATTACACTGTAGTCTATGTATTTCAATAATTCATTTATAAAATAAATATTTTAGATACATATATTTTTCGAACTTATATTTAATCTTGTATAATTTTTTTATGTTGCACAATAAGAAGAAAGTACCGTAAGCCTGCTCAAAATATAAATGGCAAGAGCGATACGAATACAATGTTGCTCATCCCTTTCCTCTTGAAAAAGCAAATAACCTCATACATAACTGGTCCAAAACATCCAGGCATGAAAACCTTCCATCTAATGTTAGAAAAAATTAGAGAGTGCTTCTGAAGAAATGTTGAAACTGATTAATTTTATGAGCCAAAATATTGATAAGAGTGATTGCCTCTTCACCGAGTATGAATTAGAAAATGTATTAACTAAAGGTCGATCAACTGCTCCTGGAGAGGATGGTATAAAGTATTATATTCTCAGAACTCTAAGGCACGTGCCTGATTATCCTCAGTTGGCACTGTATAATACCAGTTACACTGAGGGAGTTCTTCCTACTTCCTGGACCAATAGTCTCATTGTGTCTATCCCTAAGCCCCAACAGATTTATACATTTAGACCGATATCCTTAAGATACCTGGAGAGAGTTTCGGGGGTCAACGCCCCCGCGGCCCGGTCTGTGACCAGGCCTCCTGGTGGATCAGCGCCTGATCAACCAGGCTGTTGCTGCTGGCTGCACGCAAACCAACGTACGAGCCACAGCCCGGCTGATCAGGAACTGACTTTAGGTGCTTGTCCAGATAAGATTTCGTTCGGATTTTTAACCCCGGAGGGTTACCCACTCAGGATAACCCAAGAAAGTCAGTGCGTCATCGAGGACTAACTTATTTCCATTGGGGTCCTTAATCTTGTCCCCCAGGATGCGACCCACACCAGTCGACTAACACCCAGGTACCTATTTGCTGCTAGGTGAACAGGACAACAGGTGTAAGGAAACGTGTCGAAATGTTCCCACCCGCCGGGAATCGAACCCGGGCCCTCCGTGTGTGAAGCGGGAGCTTTAGCCACCAGGCCACCGGGCCACCGGGCCACCCTTGGAGTTAACTAGTTGTCTTTGTAAAACTTTTGAAAGAATGATACTTAACAGACTGTACCACATAATCAGACACCAACTTTTCCCCTACCTCTATGGGTTCATGAAAGGAAAAAAAAAAAGTGTGCAGAACTGTATTTCCACCTTTCTCACTGCACACACCTCTACTAGTTTTACCACATTTCATGATCTAAAATCTGCATTTGATATCGCGATCAGAACCGTTATACTACATGAACTAGCCGAAATGAATATTGGTGGTAGCCTACGCTCCTGGATAATGTGATACCTGTCAGATAGAGTATCCTCTGTCCTCAACCAAGACTTTAGAAGTGAGTCTAAAGAAATGTCCCTAGGAACACCGCAGGGAGGAGTTCTCAGTTCCATGCTTACTAGTATTCTGATTAATGCTCTCCTAAATGCTCTACCTGCCTCACCTAAACATATAGCTATAAGCTATGCTGATGACATCACGATCCATAGAACAGGGCATAAGATGATGAGTACCATTCTTATTAATGAAGTTCAAGCAATTTTTAATCGACTAAGCCCCATAATATCTTCCTCTAAAACAAAGATATTAACAAACAAACGACATCCCCCACCCATCTATTTGCAGGGTGAAAACATTAGCTACGTTAAAACTTAGATATCTTGGTGTAGATGTACCCTTTAACAAATCCACTATACTACAACTAAATAAGAAATGCAAAGAAAGGCTGAATGCTCTCAGAGCTGTTGCTGGCTACAATCCCAACTATGGTGCTAATGTGAGAATCGTGAGAATGTAAAGTAAAAGGACACAAGTGCGACTAATGTGACATTTATTACAATCGTGAGAATGATGTTCATAGCCTATGTGAGGTCCTTAATTGATTATGCTGCTCCCATGTTGATATTAGCTAGAGAAAGTTCTCTCCGACCCTTGGAGTTAATGCAAAATGAAGCTCTCAGAATTATTCTTCGCTGCCCCAAATCTACAAAGGTTCTTATTATTTAGGAAGGAGCTTGGTATTTCTAGTATCAGTGATAAGATTGTTGAGATTAACACTGTACTCGGTATTAGAATGCTATGAAATAAACCAGACACTGTCACAATGAATCTTACTAAGTGTCTAGAAGTAAATACACACAGATCTAAATGGATTGTGAAAACGTGCAAGTCCATTAAGTTTTATAACCTGCATGAACTGTATCACTGTAGGCAACAAGAGCATTTCACCCCTCCATGGAAGATGTGTTCATTTAATATCATATACCTGCAAGTCCCTCCCAAGAAGCTCATTGCTAGTAATTCCTTCCTTAAATCACTTGTTAAAGCAACTGCTCAAGAAGAAATTTCTCGCCTAGCTGGTAGTAATAAGTTATCACAAGTTATATACACTGATGGATCTAAACAGGAGTCTTCTGGCAGGGCTGCATCTGCTCTTGTTGTCACCTCCCTAGTTAAGAACGATAATAAATTTGTTGAGTTAGGCATAAGAATTAACAACTGGGCGTCTACACTGCAAACTGAATTGTTTGCAATCCTAATGGCGCTAAAGCTAACCTATGACACTGAGCTTAGCTCTATCATCATTACTGATTCTATGTCATCATTGAAGGTTCTTGACTCATGTAATGACTCCAACAACATGCTCATTGGGGAAGCCAGGTATAGATACTCAAAAATCCGGGACAAAGGAATTAATATACAATTGCTATGGATCCTATCACACATTGGATTACTCCTTCATGATAAAGTTGATATGTTAGCCAAGAAGAGTACCCAGAAGGAGAATGTAGAATATAACTTTGGTATATCTGTGTATAGCATTAGGAATAATATTAGGAGAGAATTAAATAATGAAAATGATTGTTATAAGAATGCAGTTAGAAGCCTGAGTAGATCTATAACCCACTATGATAACATGAATGTAAATAAGTATGTTTATGGAGCAACTTGCAATGTGAACAGACTGACTGATGTTGTAGTGGCCAGGCTTAGGCTTGGTTACAAGTACTTCTGGCAGTTTGGGAGACACACAGATGATGATCAAACTAAATGTAAATTATGTGATCAGGCATATGGTCACTCTCTTGAACACTATGTGCTTAATTTTCCACTTATTGAGGAATACAGAGACAGTATAATAACCTATGTGACATGTCAAGATATCTTATTAATGAAAATAAGATACCAGATATACTAAGCAAATTTCCTAAATTTGCTTGTAACAGATAAGTGAACTATAGATTTGTAGATATAAATCCATATGTATTCCTGTTAACCCTTTGGGGCCTAGTTCCTAGGCCTTTTGTGTATCCATATGCTCTTGCGCTACTGTCCACAGGATGGATATGGGGTGCATAATAAACTAGCCACTTCGGTGGCAAAATCTAAATCTCCCAGTGAGATTACTTGTATGCATGTAACGTTGAGGTACATACAGGTAACATCCAAAAAAAATTAACATAGTAACCATGTATGGACGTGTTTATGATTCATTACCTTTGTAACTTGTCATGATTGTGACCAGATATAGTTCGTTACCTTTGAAACTTGTTCAGCTCTCAAAACTTTGGAGTCCAGTCCCTGGACCAATTATGTACCTCTGTAATCTTTTGACTACCGCCCACAGGATGGGTATGGAGTGCATAATAAAGATATTAAACTTAAACTAACTTATATGATACAGGAAGGGCATTATGTATGATAATTGTACTTATGAGTACCTGTGCTTAAATATACTTACCTTTCATCAGTTCAGTTTTAGCCGGCTCTATTTTTTCTCCACTGCGAATAACTCTTGGTGAGTAAGACACATATGCAACAGTTAGGTATCTTTATTTCGAAACGTTTCGCCTACACAGTAGGCTTCTTCAGTCGAGTACAGAAAGGTTGATAGAAGCAGAAGATACTTGAAGACGATGTAATCAGTCCATCACCCTTAAAGTTTTGAGGTGGTCAGTCCCTCAGTCTGGAGAAGAGCATTGTTCCGTTGTCTGAAACAATATGAAGTTGAAGTGACAGAATGGGGCCTTTATATAGTGCCAGGAGGTGAGACGTAGGTTGTTTGGGAGGGCAGGTCCTTCTCAAACCCAGCCGTTCTCACTAGTAGAGGTTGTCGAGTGGTCTGTACCAAGATACCCTTGTGTTGCAGTGTCTGACAGAATGAACATTAAAATGGTATGAAATACCGACAGATTGTTAGGTAAGACACATATGCAACAGTTAGGTATCTTTATTTCGAAACGTTTCGCCTACACAGTAGCTTCTTCAGTCGAGTACAGAAAGGTTGATAGAAGCAGAAGATACTTGAAGACGATGTAATCAGTCCATCACCCTTAAAGTTTTGAGGTGGTCAGTCCCTCAGTCTGGAGAAGAGCTTTGTTCCGTTGTCTGAAACAATATGAAGTTGAAGTGACAGAATGGGGCCTTTATATAGTGCCAGGAGGTGAGACGTAGGTTCTTAGGGAGGGCAGGTCCTTCTCAAACCCAGCCGTTCTCACTAGTAGAGGTTGTCGAAGTGGTCTGTACCAAGATACCCTTGTGTTGCAGTGTCTGACAGAATGAACATTAAAATGGTATGAAATACCGACAGATTGTTAGGTAAGACACATATGCAACAGTTAGGTATCTTTATTTCGAAACGTTTCGCCTACACAGTAGGCTTCTTCAGTCGAGTACAGAAAGGTTGATAGAAGCAGAAGATACTTGAAGACGATGTAATCAGTCCATCACCCTTAAAGTTTGAGGTGGTCAGTCCCTCAGTCTGGAGAAGAGCATTGTTCCGTTGTCTGAAACAATATGAAGTTGAAGTGACAGAATGGGGCCTTTATATAGTGCCAGGAGGTGAGACGTAGGTTGCTTAGGGAGGGCAGGTCCTTCTCAAACCCAGCCGTTCTCACTAGTAGAGGTTGTCGAAGTGGTCTGTACCAAGATACCCTTGTGTTGCAGTGTCTGACAGAATGAACATTAAAATGGTATGAAATACCGACAGATTGTTAGGTAAGACACATATGCAACAGTTAGGTATCTTTATTTCGAAACGTTTCGCCTACACAGTAGGCTTCTTCAGTCGAGTACAGAAAGGTTGATAGAAGCAGAAGATACTGAAGACGATGTAATCAGTCCATCACCCTTAAAGTTTTGAGGTGGTCAGTCCCTCAGTCTGGAGAAGAGCATTGTTCCGTTGTCTGAAACAATATGAAGTTGAAGTGACAGAATGGGGCCTTTATATAGTGCCAGGAGGTGAGACGTAGGTTGCTTTGGGAGGGCAGGTCTTCTCAAACCAGCCGTTCTCACTAGTAGAGGTTGTCGAAGTGGTCTGTACCAAGATACCCTTGTGTTGCAGTGTCTGACAGAATGAACATTAAAATGGTATGAAATACCGACAGATTGTTAGGTAAGACACATATGCAACAGTTAGGTTCTTTATTTCGAACGTTTCGCCTACACAGTAGGCTTCTTCAGTCGAGTACAGAAAGGTGATAGAAGCAGAAGATACTTGAAGACGATGTAATCAGTCCATCACCCTTAAAGTTTTGAGGTGGTCAGTCCCTCAGTCTGGAGAAGAGCATTGTTCCGTTGTCTGAAACAATATGAAGTTGAAGTGACAGAATGGGGCCTTATATAGTTGCCAGGAGGTGAGACGTAGGTTGCTTAGGGAGGGCAGGTCCTTCTCAAACCCAGCCGTCTCCACTAGTAGAGGTTGTCGAAGTGGTCTGTACCAAGATACCCTTGTGTTGCAGTGTCTGACAGAATGAACATTAAAATGGTATGAATACGACAGATTGTTAGGTAAGACACATATGCAACAGTTAGGTATCTTTATTTCGAAACGTTTCGCCTACACAGTAGGCTTCTTCAGTCGAGTACAGAAAGGTTGATAGAAGCAGAAGATACTTGAAGACGATGTAATCAGTCCATCACCCTTAAAGTTTTGAGGTGGTCAGTCCCTCAGTCTGGAGAAGAGCATGTTCCGTTGTCTGAAACAATATGAAGTTGAAGTGACAGAATGGGGCCTTTATATAGTGCCAGGAGGTGAGACGTAGGTTGCTTAGGGAGGGCAGGTCCTTCTCAAACCCAGCCGTTCTAAAGGCCCCATTCTGTCACTTCAACTTCATATTGTTTCAGACAACGGAACAATGCTCTTCTCCAGACTGAGGGACTGACCACCTCAAAACTTTAAGGGTGATGGACTGATTACATCGTCTTCAAGTATCTTCTGCTTCTATCAACCTTTCTGTACTCGACTGAAGAAGCCTACTGTGTAGGCGAAACGTTTCGAAATAAAGATACCTAACTGTTGCATATGTGTCTTACCTAACAATCTGTCGGTATTTCATACCATTTTAATGTTCAACTCTTGGTGAACTTAGGTGAAGATGTAGGGATCCCGCTCTTCTGGGGCTTGGCGAGGGCGTCCACCTGGTGTATATATGGTAACTTCTAATTTCTTCTGTTATATTTACAAAGAACCCCAATGGAAATAAATCAATTTGTCTGGCTATTCGGGGCTATCCTAAGTAATCTGCACAAATGCTGGTGTGTATGATAATTTATGTAATTGTATTTATGCGTATCTGAACCTGAACAAACTTATTTACTTAATAATTAAAGGGACTCGTTTTTTTTCTTACATCACAACATTTCTTCCCCGTACATCGGGAAACAAGGCTCGATACAGCGTAAGCTGTTAGTGACCTTTACAAACCCAACAATAACACGAAAACTAGTAAGTTAAGAATTGTTCGACATTTTAATTCGAATGGTTAGCCACCCAGGATCCAATTCAAAGTATTCTCTATAAGGATTACAATGCTGAGTTTACAAATTTGGTTATTGTGTGGTTTACATGTAGCAAAATAATAATTACAGAGTGTACCACTAGAACACCTAGCATGGCTAGGCATTTCGGGCAGACTTATATTAATTCTTAAATTTAAAATATTACAAATTATGAGGTAAGTTGGTATTATGGCTAAGTGACTAAATACTAGTTTGTGAGTTTAGCAATGTGAATGCTTTTGTTTTGGCACAATACAGTTTCAGTATTGGAGTATCACAGGCCAACTTATGACTAGTTAGGATTCATTATTTTAAGATTGAGATTGATACATGTATTTCTGTTTATGGTCAAATGGGTGAGTGAGTGTAAGTGTGAACCACCAGGCGGTATTTATGTAATTAGTTGACGGGATGTATCAGGGAGATAAGATGTTTTCTAATGGTAGTTTTGAAGGTGATGAATGTGTCTGCAGTTCTAGAGTTTTCAGGTAGGGTGTTCCAGATTTTAGGGCCTTTGACATACATTGAATTTTTGTAAAGGTTTAGTCGGACACGGGGAATGTCATAGAGATGTTTGTGTCTGGTGTTATGCCTGTGGGTTCTGTCACAACTATCAAGAAAGCATTTTAGGTCGAGGTTAATATGTCATCGGTGACTCTTATTTCTACTGGGGGCCCATCAGTTTTGTCCCCCAGGATGCGACCCACACTAGTCGACTAACGATGTAATGGAGACAGGAACCATACATAGTTGTAAAGACGAGGTATGATGAAGCTCATGGAGCAGGGAGAGAGAGGACCCAGTAGCGGTCAGTGAAGAGGCGGGGCCAGGAGCTGAGTATCGACCCCCGCAACCACAATTAGGTGAGTACACAGGTACCTACTTACTACTAGGTGAACAGGAACGGCAAACAAATTTTATAAATTTGCAAATTTTAGTGTGTGATTTACATTTTATAAAGCGTTGTTAAGTACAACGGAAACCACAAACATGCTGGGGCATTTCAGGCAGACTAATCTTAATGCTTACAGATTATTTAAAAGTAGACGTTGCCTACTAGGCGCGTGGCCTGATAGGCAACACTATCTCTTCACCTACAGAGTGTGTGTGGTTCAGTCCTTGGCAAGGGTAAACACTGAGCGTATTTACGTACACCTGTTGTCCCATTCACGTAGCAAGCAAGTAGGTACCTGGATGTTAGTGAACTGGTGCGGGTCGCATCTTGGGGAAACAAGACTAAGGACCACAATGGAAATAAGACAGACAGTCCCTCAGTGATGCATTGACTCATGGGTTATCCTGGGTGGCTAACCCTTTGAGGTTAAAAATCCGCACAAAATCTGATAGAGTGGTATGGAAATATGCCCAGTGTTTCGCCATACACGGAACTAATCCCAGACTCATTGTGTGAGATGAGGTCACTATGGACCAAGCCAGCAGCACCTTCCTGCAGGAGTCGAATTTCAGCTCCTGGCCCCACCTTTTGCTCTGGCTGCTACAGAGTTCACTTTCTCATGGCTTCATGAACCCTATCATGTCTGTATTTAAAGCTTTATATTGAACCTGTATCTACCACTGGTGTTGCTTCAACTAGATTATTCAACATCCAACCACTCTGGGGCTGAAGAAATACTTCTTCACATCCGAGTGACTCATCTCTCTTATCTATCATATCATCCAACATTCCCCTAGTGTACCTGTTTCCTGCCTCTTACAGCCTGTCCCTGTTCTCTCTATCAGTTTCTTCAGTACAAATTTTCTTTCTAATAAAAGACCAATTTTGCCAGGTTGAGGTTTTTGGGTTGAATACGATGCTAATGGACACTGTCAACGAGCTGGTTCAGCTGCTGGCAGCAGATGGTCGGATAGATGTTAAGAGTGCTGCCTGCATGACTGCTGCTCGTAAGTAAGGACTGGAAGCTACTAATATTTGAATATCATAGATTTTTTTTTTTTTTTTTTTTTATCACACTGGCCGATTCCCACCAAGGCAGGGTGGCCCGAAAAAGAAAAACTTTCACCATCATTCACTCCATCACTGTCTTGCCAGAAGGGTGCTTTACACTTCAGTTTTTAAACTGCAACATTAACACCCCTCCTTCAGAGTGCAGGCACTGTACTTCCCATCTCCAGGACTCAAGTCCGGCCTGCCGGTTTCCCTGAACCCCTTCATAAATGTTACTTTGCTCACACTCCAACAGCACGTCAAGTATTAAAAACCATTTGTCTCCATTCACTCCTGTCAAACACGCTCATGCATGCCTGCTGGAAGTCCTAGATCTGAGACATAAACTGAAATATAGTATGTCATCCTGTTTGACTATAGATTTTATTCTGTTAATTTTATATAATACAGTATACCATTATTATAGTGGGTTATTCTAGGTTAACTTGACATAATGCACCATGACTATAGTGGGTTATTCTAGGTTAATTCTATATACAGTGGAACCTTAGCTTACGAGTTTAATCCGTTCCGTGATCTAGCTCGTAACTCAATTTACTTACATATCAAATTAATTTTCCTCATTTAAATTAATTGAAAAGCCATTAATCCGTTCCTGCACCCTGGAGACTAAGAAAAAAATACTTGAATATGATGCTATTATCAGCTTTGCAGCTTATTTATTTATCACAATTAATCTAATATGACATAATAAACAATATAATTAACACAGAAACATGATATACATGTATACTCTAGAATGAATAAAATAGGCCATAATATGGTGGCAGAGGCAGCGGTGGAAGCGTCTGCCATTTCTGTCCCAATTTGACTATAGTATCTTCCCATGCTCTTACTGTAAGAGAAAACAGAGTATTTTTAAGGCTAACTGCAGTAGATCACTAGTTTTCTAAGGAAAACGCTAAAACAATGTATTTATAAATAAGAAATATCGTATAAAAACTGTTTATGTAAAGTGTATATGTACACCTACCCTCCGACTTACGATCGAGCTTGGTTCCGACCAACCGGTCGTAAGTCAAAATGGACGTAAGTCGAACTTTACTACTGAATATCAACATGACATTTTTGAAATGACTTTATTTTATTGTTTTATTTTGGTATTCCATTTTTTACTTTACTTTTTATGCTGTTAGTACTGTATTTTATACTGTAAGGTTTAGGATAAACACTGTATACAACACAAACAGTTGTTTATTTCCCAGAAATTTGGCATAAAAAACACGGTCGTAAGTCGAGTGGTCGTATGTCGAGCAGGTCGTAAGTCGGATGGTAGGTGTACTTACACACTTGGAGCAGAGATGGTGGGGGAGGTCGAGGGTGGGGGATATTGAAGGTGGGGGGATGTTGAGGATGGGGGATGATGAGGGTGGGGGATGCTGAGGATGGGGGATGCTGAGGGTGGGGGATGTTGAGGGTGCGGTGTATGATGTATTGCCTCGTTAAGTCCATGGAAATCGTCTTTTTCTTCTCAACACTTTTCTTAGGACCCACCGCATGGATAGCTGGCCACCTTGCCAGATACCTTTCAACACTTCTGGGCACCATCAGCCAAGCCCACCTCAAACACTCAGGTGACCTCTCTCGAATTTCCAACGTGAATGTTAAAAAACAAAAGCAAGGCTTCCTTCGATGTCACAGCCCTCTTTACCAATGTTCCTACTGATGCTGGAGTAAACATTCTGAGACATAGGCTCACTGAAAACCACGACCTTCCTTTACCTCTTCTAGATTTCATCAGGCTAGTGAATCTTTGTGTTAAATTCAACTTCAAGTATCAGGACAACTGTTACAAACACTGCTTTGGGATGGCAATGGGCAGCCCGCTCAGTGCTGTGCTTGCTGACGTCTTCATGGAAAATCTAGAGACAGAGAAATTCAGCACCCTCATTCCCAACACTATTACCTGGTTAAGATACGTTGATGATATATTGGTTTTCTACCCGATACGTCTCAGTATCCAGGCCCTTCTCAACTAGATCAATGCAGCTGAACCATCGATAAAGTTTACACTTGAATTCGAAAAGAATGGCAAACTTCCTTTCCTCTATGTCCTCCTGTGCAGATCTCCTGACAGTGACAAACTTCTCTTCAAAGTGTATAGAAAACCTACTAACAAGGACGATCTTATACACTTCTACTCACACCAAGACACCCGCACTAAAAAAGGAGTCCTCATTGGCTTCTTCTTGAGAGCTCTTTGCATCTCCAGCCCTTGTTTTCTTGAAGAAGAATGTATTTACATAACACAAGCCTTTACACATCTTCATTTTCCATCTTTCTTCATCCAAGATTGCAGACTCGAGGCACGAGCTATCCTCAACAAACTGCCCATGGAACAGCCCTCTAAGCAGTTCATAGTGCTCCCATGTGGTGATGTTGCTACGAATACTTGCTGGGGACTTGCTAAGAGTAACATCAATGTTTCCACCATGAACACATCATCTATCAAAGACCTCACTACGAAATGCAGCCCCACATCTCTAACTTCCACAGCAGGCGTCTATGCCATCCCTTGTGGATTCTATCCCGAGAAATATGTAGGCAAGACAGGCAAAGATCTTGTGGTCCACCTGAACGAGCATCAAAGTACCTGTAACAGAAACGATTGAAGGTATGCCTGTGTCCTCCACAGAGACTCCACGGGGCATTTGATGAACTGGAATGGGGCACAACTCGTTCTCACTGAACCAGACCTCAGACTCCGATGGTGCTTAGAAGCCTCGCTAATCACCGTCACTGACACAATAAAATGTAACACTGGAAACTGCAAAATTTCAAAAACATTAGAATACATGATACTTAAGCAGGCTAAGCGCCACAACCCAACAACACAGGAGTCACATGATCTCTTCCTCTACCCATCCTCATCTCAACATGGCATTCTTCAGGTCACCATGCGTCACTCACACCTCACTCTCTGCCTATATATAATGTCTTTTACCTCTGTATGTTAGAAGTGATCAAGGTCCCAGGATCGAAATGTTTTCTAATAAATGTGTCATGGTGTTTGCTTATGTTTCTTTCTAAACCTTGTACTCTGATAATTATACTTGAGACACTTATGCAACATATGGGAATCTTTATTGAAGAAATGTTTTGCCACACAGTGGCTTCATCAGTCTTTTACAAAGCAGGAAGGTATAAGGAGAAGAGGAGTTGAGGTAATCAGTCCCTCAGCCTGGAGTCGATGGGTTCAGTCCATCAATCTGTCGGACACTACATCATCATGGGATCTTGATACAAAGAATTCTTCAAAACTTGTCCAGTCTTTGGACGAAGACCTGCTTAGACTAGTGGATGGTTCCACTATGACCCCCGCCTCCTCCTGCTTCGCCTCACCTGACTACAGTAGATAAGCCACTGCTACGGCCCTGTGCTGTACTTCTACAAGATTGATGGACTGAGCCCATCGAGTCCAGGCCGAAGGACTGATTACCTCAACTTCTCCTCTCCTTATACCTTCCTGCTTTGTATAAGACTGATGAAGCCACTGTGTGGAGAAATGTTTCTTCAATAAAGATTCCCATATGTTGCATAAGTGTCTCAATTCTTCAACTTGACGGTTTTCAAAACCTTTCATCACACTACAATATTACTGAGGGTAACTAGAAAATTATTCCTTTCATATGTAAGTAGGTAATTAAGTTTATTCAGATATGCACAAATACAGTTATATAGAATATCATACATAGCAGCATGTGTAGAAAACCTAGGATAACCCAAAAAAAGTCAAAGTGATTTATTCCTATATGCCTTCACTCAGTGTCATTTCTTCTAAAAATGGTGTTACATGAGAATGGGAGTGTTTCTCTTTATTTATTCTACTGTATCAGTGTGGAGACAACTTGTACACAATGTAAAGTGTTTGTATTATGGTATAATACAAAAAGTGTATGATTGAAAACCAGATGTGTTCACCTGGTTTGTTTACATTACATGTGGCTGGGGTGGGGTGGGGAGGGCTGCCCTGGCTGGCTACCATACTTCACAAACCTGACTTCCTACAAATGTAACTCACCTCTCACCCTACATTAAGAATACAAATATTTTAAGGTAATTAATGAATGCACTGTATATGTATTTTATCACTCTGGGGCACTTTAATTAAATGTCGTAGTATATTATGTGTGGGTGGGGAGGGGTGGGCTGACCTGGCTGGCTACCATTCCTCCCAAACCTGACTTCCTACAAATAAAACTCACCTCTCACCCTACATTAAGACTACAAATATTTTAATGTAAGTAATGAGTGTACTTTGTGTGTACAGTGGACCCCCGCCTAACGAATGCATTGCTGCACCACAGTCAGCTGCTGCTGCACCACAGTCAGCTGCTGCTGCACCACCATCAGCTGTTGCTGCACCACAGTCAGCTGCTGCTGCACCACAGTCAGCTGCTACTGCACCACCATCAGCTGTTGCTCCACCACCATCAGCTGTACTCCTCGAAGATGTGGAGCGAGTGTTGTTGGTGTGGCTTAACGGGAAACAATTACCGAGAAACAATTAACCCCAGAGGGTTATCCACCCAGGATAACCCAAGAAAGCCAGTGCATCATCGAGGACTGTCTATCTTATTTCCATTGGGGTCCTTAATCTTGTCCCCCAGGATGCGACTCACAACAGTTGACTAACACCCAAGTGAACAGGAAAAAATGCCTGGAACTAGTGCTCATATTGGTGAATTTAAGGCCAGCAAAGGTTGGTCTGAGAGATTTAAGAATTGTAGTGGCATACACAGTGCAATAAGGCATGGCGAAGTTGAAAAATTCCAACCCCAACAAGTGTTCAATTGTGACGAAACAGGCCTGTCCTGGAAGAAAATGCCGAACAGGACCTACATTACACAGGATGAAAAGGCACTCCCAGGACACAAGCCTATGAAAGACAGGCTAACTTTCATGTTTTGTTGTAATGTTAGTTGGGATTGCAAAGTGAAGCCTTTACTTATGTATCTGAAAATCCTAGAGTGTTCAAGAAAAACAGTGTCTCATCACTCATCAATACTCTTCAATAAAGGTATGTGTCATTTTAACATTTATTTATATAGTTATTGTGCATGTCTCATTGTTTTCTTTGTAGGGAAATGTATACTGTATTTCATGAAAAAAAATTTTTTTTAATACTTTTGGCTGTCTGGAACGGATTAATTGGACTTCCATTATTTCTTATGGGGAAAATTAATTTGGCTAACAATAATTACGGCTAACGATGAGCTCTCAGGAACAGATTAATATCATTAGGTGAGGGTCCACTGTATTTTACTTTTTATTGTTTTTAATGCAGAGTTCTATTGCATTCATAAGTGGAAAAAAATGGCTTTCTGCTTTTCTGTGATGTGTGCTTTCTGGCAGTATCCTGGAACCTAACCTGCCGTATAAGTGGGGACCTACTGTATTTGGATTTGTTAAGTGTTTTAGAGACCATTTTGCTGCAATATAGCACTCTAATCTGATTAATATTTGCATTTATAAAAATAATAACCAAGAGGTTTGAGTGTGGGGAAAGACATTGAGGCACAGAACATTATTGGACAATGAAATTTCTTTGCTGGTTGCCAACCAGTAAAAATATTAGGTAGCTGAGATACAAATACTGAAGCCTCTGAATTTGCAGAGATGATTGTACTCTGTAAAATAATTTATAGATTTTTTTTATTGTGCTAGCAACAAAATATATGTTAAATTTTCTAGATTACATAATAGATTCTACTGCATTATATAATGCTGTAATAGATACATAAGACTAATTGTAAAAAAATGCTAGCATGTTACATTTAATGACTTATTAGGGAAATGTTTTTGCATTGAATGGTAAATGGCTCTGTGAGGAGATTCTTTCAGTAGAAGTGCCTTGATGCTGGTGAAGGACTCTTATTCTTTCCTTGGATTAAACCTCAATGCCTCCCATTTTCTAGGGAGGGAATTGTAGTAATAATCTTGGTGAGTGGTGGCTGGAATTCTAATCTTGCTTATCTTATACACTGAATGTTCTGAAATGTGTAGGTACCATCTTCAATCATGGCCAGCAAAATGTTATGCTTCATGCTTTCAGTTTTTCTGTCAGTGGAAGTTGACTTCGAGGGTGTAGGGTAGATTTCCCTTATAATTTCTCCATGTTCCGTACTGTATATCTAAAACTACTATGTCCACATTATAGTTTATTCACATTATGTTTTATTTTATTTTATTTTATAGAGCTAACAGGAACCCCTGAGGGTCTAAGTCTTCTGACCTCCAGAGCAGATATTCTTACAGCTATTTTGCACTTGATTAGAGACTCGGAAATTTACACAAGTAAAGATGCCATGCGTGCACTAATCAACATTTCTGCAGAGGAGTCTGGGGCTGAAGGTCTTCTGGCCCTGAAAGATGTTGATATCACTGCAGAAATGGTCAAGGTAAATAATTTTATTAATTTTGTAATTGTTGGGTAAAAGGACACAAGAAAAAAAAGGGTGAAAAGTAAAAGACACAAGAGTTTTATCAAATCTAATGGCTTGATAAAGCTCTTGGAGAGTGAAACGTTGCCACAATAAAATGTCACATTAGTTACACTTGTGTCCTTTTACCCAACATATTGTCGGTAATTCTACCAGCATTAAAGCAACTACGTAATTATGTCTTTTTGAGGTTCTGTTGAATTTAACCGGTTTACCTATTTACCATTGCAAGAGCATTTTCTAAGCAAACATTCATCATATTTACCTCTTTTATATATATCATTGACACTTAAGTGCTTGCAAGCTTTTCTGATACGTTGTTGTTCTTTCAGCAAACTGGCCATATCCCTCAGAGGCAGGGTGGCCCAAAAAGAAAAATGAAAGTTTCTCTTTTTAACTTTAGTAATGTACATGTATACATGAGAAGGGGTAACTAGCCCTTTGCCCCTGGCATTTTAGTCGTCTCTTACAACACGCATGGCTTACAGAGGAAGAATTCTGTTCCACTTCCTCATGTTATGTAGACATAAAAATTAGTTAAATGCATTCTTTAGTGAGTTTGGTGACAAATTCAGGAGAGAATTGGTTTTGAACTTCACTCTGCTATTTCTTTCACAGAAAGTTAAAACTAACACTTCACAATGGGTACAGGTCGGCCATCACTAATCCGGCAATCAGTTATCCGGTTCCATCAGTAATCCGGCATTAATTTCAGTGAGCATAATTTCAAATTTCATCATTATGCTGACTCAAATTTCATCATTATGCTGACTCAAATTTCATCATTATGCTGACTCAAATTTCATCATTATACTGACTCAGAAATTGTGCAGATGGTTGTAAATCCACAGCAGCAAGCCAGTGGAGGAGAATGCAGTGATGAAAATGAGGAAGATGTAGCAGAAAGAGTGGAAGATTGAGACACAGCAGAAAGAGTCTCTATTGATTGGTTAATTAAGTGTATTCTAACCTAACCACTCTGTAATCCGGCAAACTCACTAATCCAGCACACTGCAGGTCCCAACATTGCCGGATTAGTGAAAATTAATTCAATTTTAGGAAAGTGGTTAAGAAAAGGTAATAATTACTATTTATCATTGTTTTAAGCTCAAGTTCTTATATAAATAGTATAAGGATAATTGAAATTTATATCCATACTGCATGTTACACTATTACATTTATTGACATACACTGTCCAATAAAGTCTCAATATAACAGACTGACCAGAGAGGGGAGACAGGTAGCTGGTGTGGTAGATAGAGACATTGTTCTACAGTGATGGTAGCAATAACTAACAGTTCTGTAACCTACAGACTTTGTCCATTGTTTCCAAACCAACTGACCCAGCTGATTTTATTCCATATTTATGAAGTCCACTAATATAGAGATCCATTATATTGAGGGTCTTGGGGAGTTTCACTACCTGGATGGGTTAAATTGGAAAGTTGATGTTATACACAACATTTTGGACGGAGTTAAAACTAATACTGTATCATGGTTTACAAGGTCGTATTGTAGTACAATTAAGGATGATAAAAATAATAAAGACAGTGTAACAGTGACCAGGTAGAGCATATTGCCAAGAAACAAATGCATTAAGTTGTTAACATCCACACCTAACCCTTAACCCCTTAAGGGTCTGTGTCATAGTTCTACGGCTTTGAACTCTGGGTCAGTTCCATAATTCTACGTCATGAGCTCAGCTCACTCAGATAAGCTGTGAGTGATAAATATTGGCCTAGATATAAGAGAATTGGTTAATGTGGTGAGTGTGCACCATATAAAAAAAAGTCCTGCCCCATGCAGTGCATGATGGAGGAAAAAACCATGACTAGGTCTTTGGTTTAAAATAGCAACTTTGCTGTGTATTTTTGGATGGTTTTTACATTTTTATTCTAGGTCTCTTGGTATCATTTGATAGAGTGGAAGATATATTACAGAAATGGAGATGATTTTGATTGGTTTCTGTCTGAAAGTAGCTTGAAATTGAGCTCTAAGTACCAGAAATATTAGATTTTTGCTGATATTCCAGAGTACACAAATCATGTCATTTGTCCAATATGCATCCAACTGGTCAGTCTAATACGCATTCATGAATCCACCGACATTATTTATATAATTATTACAATAGTGCATAACAGTAAATCTATTTTTTAGTGTGAAGAAAAATTAAAAGTGGAATTCATGTGTAATATTGGAGAAGCCTGGGAATGTAACTAATGAACAGAGGAAATGTTATTTTAGTGCCAGGAATGTCTGCATTATTTTTTCTGGACCCAATTTTGAATTGGCACTTTTTGAATTTTGTGTGATATTGGCCAAATTACCAATGTCTGATCACTGAACTCTGCTTTGCATTGCATCTGGTTCTTTACAGAAAACTTGTTTGTAAGTTGGAAAATAAGGAATAATTTAGTTGTAAGTTGAGCACTTCTTGTAATTCTTTAGATCATAACTTAGTTATTATAAGTCATTATTGAGCTACAGTGGAACCTCAAAAATCGAACTGCTCCCAACACGACCAATTATGTAAGTGTATTTTTGTAAGTGCTTTTATAAGTGTATTTTTGAGGGTCTGAAATGGACTAATCTAATTTACATTATTCCTGATGGGAATAAATTCATTCGGTAAAGGCACTCGAACAGCCTTCTGGACCGAAGAAAGTTTGATATTTGAGGTTCCACTGCATTTGATTGAAAAAAAATGTTAATTTATGTAAATTTTTCCTAGCTTGTAGAATTTGACATGATCAATACACTTAACCCACGTGAGTTATTAAACACAGGGTGGTGGAGGCTTTATCCTCCATCCACTAATCATGAAACAGACACACTGTTTAAATGTACTGTTTTACCTTGTTAGCAGTAATGTCAAAGCTACACTTGAGTCTGGACCTGTGGTTGATAAAGAAATCCTTACTTTTTTAGTGTATTGAGGACACGGAATATCCCCATGCAGACTTTGCATGTGGTATACTGGCTAATTTGTCCAAGCCCAAGCATTTGTGCCAACGGGTGTTTGACCGCATCACTGATGGGCCCACTAAGCTCGAAGGTCTGGTCTACATACTCTCTCAGATTGACTACAACAAAAAGGGTGCTAAACTTCATCTTTTGGCATCATTCATCTCTAATTTCTCACAACTGGCTGCTGGGAGAAGGTACGTGTGTGATCTTCCATTTATACCTGCAGTGTGTGGCTGACCCATGGGCAATTAAATGCTTGCTGTAATGTTTCCCAAGTGGCTCTGTGATCTCAACCCTTCCGGGGGGGGCAACTTGATACTAAAGAACTTTTGATTCAGGGAATTGGAGTTACACTTTTCCCTCCATGGAGCAGACCTGATTACCTCTCGTTGCCAGAGTATGAGATAAATGCTTTCAGGTGATAATAATAATTATAGGGTACTGTGATCTCAGCCCTTGAGGACGAGTAACTTAATGTTGGTAAAGGATTTTTGACTATAGGAATTGGAACTACTTTCATGTTCCTTGGAATAAACCTGATTTTCTCTCATTCCTCAGGTGCCATATGATCCTTTACAGGTTTAATGCTTCATCATTATGGTAATAATGCCTTGTATCAGATGCTTTATCATTCAATCCTACTCCTCTCCCCAACACCTACTATTCACTTTTTTACGGCCATCTATAAATGTTTAACAACCATGGTGACATTACATACTCATCTTTGTGAAAAGCCTAATTTTACTGGGAAATAATTTCCCTCTCCTTCAAACTCTAGCTTGAGCTTCGCTATCCAGGTAAAAATTCTTTATTGCTTTAAGTAACCTGCTGTATCACTAATTCCATACATTTGCATCATCTGCCACATTGTTTCCATATCCACCCTATCATATGCCTTTTCTAAATCCCTAAATGAAACAAAAGTTCCTTACCTTAATCTATGGTAAGTATTATTTGCCTATATGAATATATATAAACACTTGGTCTACATATCCCTTAACCTCACTAAAACCACCTTGTTCAGCTGCAGTCCTTTCTGTCTTACCCTTAATATTTTTAACCAGTTTATTCCCTTATAACTCTACACTCTTTTTATTTCATTTTCCCCCTGTATTTATAATTTATTCATAAATACAGTAATATACTTAAGGACATGAGTACCCCAGACAGATGATGGACAAGGATGGGTTTGTGTTGCAGCGACTTCTATCATTTATGGATTACAAGGAGTCAAAAGGGAGGCGAATGTCTATCATAGCAACAGTTCACAATTGCTGTTTTGAGAAGAGTAAGTTCATTTTTACTTTTAAGAATACACAGTATTTTTATATTTTTGTTAGGATGACGGATTCAAGCCTAAATTACAGTGGACCCTCAGCTAACGAAAGCATCGTCTAATGTTAAATCCGCCTAACGAAGCATTTGAGCGTAAAAATTTTGGCCCAACGATGAAAAACTTGCCCAGTGTGATTCATCCTGAACCTGTCCGTCCAGCCTGAGCGCCTCAGCTGCCCTGCTGTCATTGTTTACAAGCCAGGGTGGCCGGTTCCATGCATACATTTGATACATTTTGTATTACTCCATTGTTTTTAGTGCTTGCAACTGCTAAATAAGCCACCATGGGCCCAAAGAAAGCTAGTGCCAACCCTGTGGTAAAAAGGGTGAGAAATACTATCGTACCACGGTCAGCTGCTGCTGCACCACCGTCAGCTGCTGCTGTATCACGGTCAGTTGCTGCTGCTGCTGCTGCTGCTGCTGCTGCTGTACCACGGTCAGCTTCTGCTGTACCATGGTCAGCTGCTGCTGCTGCTGCTGTACCATGGTCAGCTGCTGCTGCTGCTGCTGCTGCTGCTGTACCATGGTCAGCTGCTGCTGCTGCTGTACCACAGTCAGCTGCTGCTGCACCACTGTCAGCTGCTGCTGTACCACAGTAAGTTGCTGCTGCTACTGCTGTACCACGGTCAGCTGCTGCTGCACCACTGTCAGCTGTTGCTCCACCATCATTAGCTGTACTACTCGAAGATGTGGAGCAAGTGTTGTTGGTGTGGTATAACAAGAAACAATTACCGAGAAACAGTTAACCCCAGAGGGTTAGCCACCCAGGATAACCCAAGAAAGTCAGTGAGTCATCAAGGACTGTCTAACTTATTTCCATTGGGGTCCTTAATCGTGTCTCCCAGGATGCAACCCACACCAGTCGACTAACACTCAGGTGAACAGGAAAAAATGCCTGGAACTAGTGCTCATATTGGTGAATTTAAGGCCAGCAAAGGTTGGTTTGAGAGATTTAAGAATCTTAGGGGCATATTGAACCCGCGGTCAGAGAGTCTCAAAACTCCAGACCGTCGCGTTAGCATACACAGTGTGATAAGGCATGGCGAAGTTGAAAAATTCCAACCCCAACAAGTGTTCAATTGTGACGAAACAGGCCTGTCCTGGAAGAAAATGTCAAACAGGACCTACATTATTCAGGAGAAAAGGCACTCCCAGGACACAAGCCTATGAAAGACAGGCTAACTCTCTTGTTTTGTTGCAATGCAAGTGGGGATTGCAAAGTGAAGCCTTTACTCATGTATTACTCTGAAAATCCCAGTGTGTTAAAGAAAAACTGTCTCATCACTCTTCAGTAAAGGTAAGTGTCAGTTTAACATTTATTTATATAGTTATTGTGCATGTCTCATTGTTTTCTTTGTAGGGAAATGTTTATTTCATGAAAAAAACAAAATTTTTTTAAAACTTTTGGCTGTCTGGAACAGATTAATTGGATTTCCATTATTTCTTATGGGGAAAATTAAGTGCAAGTATAAGTGCATGTGCACAACATCTGTGTCCTCAAAACTATCATGTAAATTTGTTTCTTGTAAAACCATTTGTTGATTTTCCTAAATAAAAACTTACGTCAGACACTCCATGAGTGTGAGAGAGAATTTCTTCTTTTCATATTCACCATAAGTTTTGACTACTGCCCATTGGATGACTATGGGGTGGAAAATAAAGTCATTAAACTAACAGAACTCTAACATTATTACATATTTAATATTTGATATTGTGGCACTGTACATATAAGCTGTTGTTTATTATTGCTTGTTTTTTATTGCAAACCAAATTTCTACAATGACAGTTATAATAAATATATAATATGAGGATATTAGTAAAGTTTTATTTTGACAGTTTGGATGCTGTGGTCCCTTTCAAGAGTGTATACTTTGATTGTGAATATTACAGAATACCACCCATGGTTAATGGGTGAGGATGTTGACTTGGTACCTCGCCTCTTGTTACCGCTCGCTGGACCAGACACTTTTAATGAAGAAGAGAATGACTCCTTGCCACTTTGACCTCCAGTACCTCCCTGATGACAAAGAAAGAGAACCAGACCCAGAGATACGCAAGTTACTGCTCGAGGCTTTGATGCAGGTATCCTTCAAGAGGAAGGTGGGGAGAAAGATGTGTCATGATGCTGGTCAAGGGCTCTTGATGCAAGGAATTGGAGAAGCCCTTTCCTTCCATGATCCTTTAAGAGAAACCTTAATGCTGTTAATGGGCTCTTGATCAAACCTGATCACCTGCCATTCTCCATGTGCTGTGTGACCAAATTCAGGTTTAGCACTTACCCATGAATATAGTAATAAAAATTTGCTGCAAATAGATAGATTTTTAACAGGTACAGTAGAGCCCCAACTTACAACATTTTGATTTAGGACATTCCACATTTACAGCATTGACACATTTATATCAATTAATCATTCATGATTTCTGATCTGTAGTTATGATCGTTGGAAATGTCCAAATATTAAGTGAGCATTTTAGATTGGATTGAATGGAGACAACTAGTTTATGGCTTGATGTGCTGTTGTAGTGTGAGCAAGTAAACTTTTATGAATGGATTCAGGGAAACCAGTCAGCCAAATTTGTGGAAGTGGGAAGTTTAGCACCAGCACTCAGAAGGAGGGGTGGGGGTGTTACAGTTCAGAGGGCCATGTGAATTGGATGTCTGCACACTTCTGGCAAGATAACTATTGAGTGAATGTTTCCTTTATTAGGGGTCACTATACCTTGACAAGAGACACCCCCTGATTAGCCTCTAGTCCTCCATGATGGATGGATGAAAATCTAATAATAAATATTATTTTACCCAGCTGTGCATCACCCGTGCGGGTAGAGAAGTGATGCGCAAACAGAATATTTACCTCATACTCCGAGAACATCACAAGTGGGAGGAGGATCGCCACTGCATCATGTTGAATGAAGATCTGGTCAATCTTCTCATTAGGTAAGAGCTTTAGTTTACTAAACCTGTAGGGTCATACAGTGCCAAGGGACTGGAAGGTAATCAGGTTTGATCCAAGAAAGGGAAGGGTGGTTCCAGTTCCTCAGATAAAGAGCTGTTCACTAACATGTGCATAGAAGGTTATTAAGTACAGTCATACCTGTCATACCCCACCTTACATCATTAATTAATTCCAAGATCCATGACATAACCTGGTTTTTGACATAAACCAGACATAAACCATGCCTTAAAATGAGACAAATTCCATAAAATTAGCATAGATAACTCGCGAAAAATATTTCTAAACCTTAAAGAACACTAAAAATACATTTTAGTAATTTTTTTTAAAGAATAATGAACAAAAAAAATTACGATGTAGGTGACGTTGCTGAGTGACGTAAAGTCGGACCTAATGACATTCTCTGAACTGAAATTTACTCTAGAAAAATGGCATAAAGGCAAATTTGATGTAGGCTGAAATGATGTAACGCAGTGGTATGACTACAGGTAAGTCTAGGAGGTAAACAGCACCTTTAAGGAATTTATTGTCTTACCAAAAACAAGTAGAGATAGTAGACTAAACTCAACTGTCAGTTTTTGTTAAATTAATACTTAGGTAGCCAAAATAGTTATTGACAACAGTACATGAGAATGGATGTAAATTAGGTCAGGTAAACAGGTTACAATAGATATTATAGATTTTAATTATACTATTTACCATCAGGTTTTTTCTATGAAATTCAATCTGCTTGCCTGCCAATGAGTTCAGAATTTCTTTTTGAATACAGTAATAATAATAATCTGAATGCCTGCCACTTGCAAATCTTTTTAATGACCAGGTTACAGTATGTCATGCAAGTGGTGTTGGTACTGTGCATTACATACAGGCATACCTTGTTAATACAACAGGTTAGTTTCCAGACCACTGCCGTAAAGCGAATCACAGCCTTTCTTTTCACTTACCAGTGCATATAAAAGCCTAAAAAAATTTTATGCTATTATTTATTAAGTGCACAATAGCTCTAGGCCTACAAAAATAATGTATAAGTGTAAATAATAAATAAATGCATCACCACTGAAAACCATCTTAAGAGCAAGACAAGTGCTGAAAATAATAAACATGAATATAATTAAAAAAAATTCCATACAGTGGTACCTCGGAATACGATCTTATTTCGTTTCAGAAGGCTGTTCAAGCTCTGATACCGAACAAATTTGTTCCCATAAGGAATAATGTAAATTAGATTAATCCGTTTCAGACCCCCAAAAATACACTTACAAAAGCACTTGCATAAATACACTTACATAATTGTTCGCATTTTGAGCTGTTTGTATCCCGAGGTACCACTGTATTAGTGAAGTGCTCTAAAGCGAGGTATGCCTGTATACGTGTTTCCCATTATGGGTTTAGAACTCTCTCATGATTGCAGTACTGTAATAATAATAATAATAATAATTGCCAGGAGCAAGGGGCTAGTAATCCCTTCTCTTGTATAAATTACTAAATTTAAAAAGAGAAACTTTCATTTTTCTTTTTGGGCCACCCTGCCTTGGTGGGATATGGCCGGTTTGTTGGAAAAAAAATAATACTAATAGTAATAATAACAATAGTAATGATAATAATACTGTAGTAATGTATCCCATTACTCTGGTGTCTAGGTCTATACAAGTCTTAATTGTGTAAAGTTAAACTGTTTGCATGGGCTCTTGCAAACAAAAATGTATAGGATGTATGTGCTGTATTTTGGCCATACTGGATTGCCAGTGGATTCGATGGATTTGTAAGCACTATGAAAACTAAAAATTCTTCAGGTCTCTCTCTATATCTCATATTTTGGGCCATTTAGCATGTCTTTAAGAAGATAGTGTATACCATATCTGCTGTTGGAGCTATCATTTAGTTTAAAATAATCAAGATTCCTCTTTTTAAGCCTGTTAGATTGCAGGTAGATACCAGAGAGAATTGGCAAAAGTAAGAAAAACTCAATGGAGGTAGTAGGTTGGTAGACAGCAACCACCCAGGGAGGTACTACCATCCTGCCAAGTGAGTGTGAAACAGAAACCTGTAATTGTTTTATATGATGGTAGGATTGCTGGTGTCTTTTGTCTGTCTCATAAATATGCAAGATTACAGGTATGTCTTGCTACTTCTACTTACACTTAGGTCACACTACACATACATGTACACGTTTATTTATACACACTCATCTGAGCTTTCTTTGATTTTATCTTAATAGTTCTTGGTCTTATTACTTTTCCTTTTATATCCATGGGGAAGTGGAATAAGAATCTTTCCTCCGTAAGCCATGCGTGTTGTAAAAGTCGACTAAAATGCCAGGAACAATGGGCTAGTAACCCCTTTTCCTGTAAAGATTACTAAAAAGAATAAGAAGAAAATTGTCAAAGTGGGAAGTCTGAATGTGCGTGGATGTTGTGCAAATGATAAGAAAGAGATGATTGTGGATGTTATGAATGAGAAGAAGCTGGATGTCCTGGCTTTAAGTGAAACACAGCTGAAGGGGGTGGGAGAGTTTCAGTGGAGAGGAATAAATGGGATTAGATCAGGGGTTTCAAATAGAGTTAGAGCTAAGGAAGGAGTAGCAATAATGTTGAAGGATAAGATATGGCAGGAAAAGAGGGACTATAAATGTATTAATTCAAGGATTATGTGGAGTAAAATAAAGGTTGGATGTGAAAAGTGGGTTATAGTAAGCCTATATGCACCTGGAGAAGAGAGAAGTGTAGAGGAGAGAGAGAGATTTTGGGAAATGTTGAGTGAATGCATGGGGAGTTTTGAACCAAGTGTGAGAGTACTTGTGGTTGGGGATTTCAATGCTAAAGTGGGTACAAATGTTGTGGAGGGAGTAGTAGGTAAATTTGGGGTGCCAGGGGTAAATGTAAATGGGGAGCCTTTAATTGAGCTATGTGTAGAAAGAGATTTGGTAATAAATAATACATATTTTATGAAAAAGAGGATAAATAAATATACAAGGTATGATGTAGCACGTAATGAAAGTAGTTTGTTAGATTATGTATTGTGGATAAAAGGTTGATGGGCAGGCTCCAGAATGTACATGTTTATAGAGGGGCAACTGATATATCGGATCATTATTTAGTTGTAGCTACAGTTAGAGTAAGAGGTAGATGGGACAAGAGGAAGGTGGCAACAACAAGTAGGAGGGAAGTGAAAGTGTATAAACTAAGGGAGGAGGAAGTTCAGGTGAGATATAAGCGAACTATTGGCAGAAAGGTGGGCTAGTGCAAAGATGAGTAGTGTTGGGGTTGAAGAGGGTTGGATGAGTTTTAAAAATGCAGTATTAGAATGTGAGGCAGAAGTTTGTGGTTATAGGAGGGTGGGGGCAGGAGGAAAGAGGAGTGATTGGTGGAATGATGAAGTAAAGGGTGTGATAAAAGAGAAAAAGTTAGCTTATGAGAGGTTTTTACAAAGCAGAAGTGTTATAAGAAGAGCAGAGTATATGGAGAGTAAAAGAAAGGTGAAGAGAGTGATGAGAGAGTGCAAAAGGAGAGCAGATGATAAAATGGGAGAGGCACTGTCAAGAAATTTTAATGAAAATAAGAAAAATTTTTGGAGTGAGTTAAACAAGTTAAGAAAGCCTAGGGAACGTGTGAATTTGTCAGTTAAAAACAGAGTAGGGAGTTAGTAGATGGGGAGATGAAGGTATTAGGTAGATGGCGAGAATATTTTGAGGAACTTTTAAATGTTGAGGAAGACAGGGAGGCGGTAATTTCATGCACTGGCCAGGGAGGTATACCATCTTTTAGGAGTGAAGAAGAGCAGAATGTAAGTGTGGGGGAGGTATGTGAGGCATTACATAGAATGAAAGGGGGTAAAGCAGCTGGAACTGATGGGATCATGACAGAAATGTTAAAAGCAGGAGGGGATATAGTGTTGGAGTGGTTGGTACTTTTGTTTAATAAATGTATGAAAGAGGGGAAGGTACCTAGGGATTGGCAGAGAGCATGTATAGTCCCTTTATATAAAGGGAAGGGGGACAAAAGAGATTGTAAAAATTATAGAGGAATAAGTTTACTGAGTATACCATGAAAAGTGTACAGTAGGGTTATAATTGAAAGAATTAGAGGTAAGACAGAATGTAGGATTGCAGATAAGCAAGAAGGTTTCAGAGTGGGTAGGGGATGTGTAGATCAAGTGTTTACATTGAAACATATATGTGAACAGTATTTAGATAAAGGTAGGGAAGTTTTATTGCATTTATGGGTTTAGAAAAGGCATATGATAGAGTGGATAGGGGAGCAATGTGGCAGATGTTGCAAGTATATGGAATAGGTGGTAAATTACTAAATGGTGTAAAGAGTTTTTATGAGGATAGTGAGGCTAAGGTTAGGGTGTGTAGAAGAGAGGGAGACTACTTCCTGGTAAAAGTAGGTCTTAGGGATGTGTAATGTCACCATGGTTGTTTAATATACTTATAGATGGGGTTGTAAAAGAAGTAAATGCTAGGGTGTTCGGGAAAGGGGTGGGATTAAATTTTGGGGAATCAAATACAAAATGAGAATTAACACAGTTACTTTTTGCTGATGATACTGTGCTTATGGGAGATTCTAAGGAAAAATTGCAAAGGTTAGTGGATGAGTTTGGGAGTGTGTGTAAAGGTAGAAAGTTGAAAGTGAACATAGAAAAGAGTAAGGTGATGAGGGTATCAAATGATTTAGATAAAGAAAAATTGGATATCAAATTGGGGAGGAGGAGTATGGAAGAAGTGAATGTTTTCAGATACTTGGGAGTTGACGTGTCAGCGGATGGATTTATGAAGGATGAGGTTAATCATAGAATTGATGAGGGAAAAAAGGTGAGTGGTGTGTTGAGGTATATGTGGAGTCAAAAAACGTTATCTATGGAGGCAAAGAAGGGAATGTATGAAAGTATAGTAGTACCAACACTCTTATATGGGTGTGAAGATTGGGTTTGAATGCAGCAGCGAGGAGGCAGTTGGAGGCAGTGCAGATGTCCTGTCTAAGGG